AATAATATTTTTGAGTCACATATAATTCAACTTAGTACTCATTTTATGTTAGTAAGTTGCCTTGTTTATCTGTTTTACAGGTTACCAGAAATTTCCAAAAACGGTATGCTGAACATGACAGGTCCTTCAGATTAGGAAAAATTGATTCGACGTTTTCAAACCATTCCTTGGCATGCAACCACAAGTTTACGAATCTAAACAATACGGAAATTTTGCACTATGCAAGGAAGGATTACAAACTCAATTATTTAGAATCCTTGGAAATTCACAAGGATAAACATTGAGGGTGCAACCTGTTAAATGATCAAATCGATTTAGTTTACTAACCGGTTTTTTTTAATTGGCACATTCGCATTGTAAACTGTAAATTCAGGTACTCATTCAAGCCAAGTATCTCTATTAGTACCTACAGGAGTGGTATATAAGGGCTAATGTAATGAACCATTGTTATTTTATTGTATAAGTTTCAAAATGTCCACATAGACGAAACTGCATTAACGTTAGTTACAAATAAAAGTGGTAAAAAAACAAATAAAGTTTCATTTCTCTTTTCTTCATTATGATTTCCTACCAGGTAGTAACGGCTACATCCATCAATTTATTGTTTTACAAGTAATTACAACTAATATGGTTTGATTGGATTGTGCGTGTTTGCGCGAATTAGTTGATGTTGCGGCAGAATGGACAGATGTGGCTGCGAAGTTATTGAATCTGCCAAAGCTAAATTCATCACTTTCAATAGAGATGATTGATTTGCAAGAAAATGTGTCTCTGCAAATGTATAAAACGGTATCCACTGAAGAATTTTGAGCCGAACATGAAAATTGCAAGAAAGTAGCTATACATTTGGCACTATATTTCGCTCAACATACCTACGTATGTGAAACATCTTTCTCAAAAATGATTTTTTTTTAAACATGTATCGTTCGAGATTAATGGACGCCCACCTAGAAGACATAGGTACTTCCAATTTGCTGTTCCTATCGAGAACCAAACTATAAAAAACTGGCTCAAGACCGTCGGTTGACTAACATCAATTTTAGGTATTGTGTTTTATAATTCAGAATTTGATTTGAAACCAAAATAATACATAGGTAGCACCTAATTATTATCAGTTGTTCATTTCTGGACCTCGTTAAAAATTTTCCAGAGTATCTGGACCCCACCCGAAACTATGGAGTCTCATCAAAGAGATCAAACTAGACAATGAGCTCTAAACAACCAAGGAGCATCACAATACATCTGAAAAGGTCGCAGTGAAGTGAATTAGGCCATGGGCCAGCTCCCCGAAAATCTAATCTGATCATATCTGAACGGGACATTAAAAATAACGATTTGGTGTTGGGAAAAAACTCCAGTAATATTCATTACTACACCAAAGGTTCCAAACAGTATATCACAAGTCACTTGTCATTGATTGTTTGGAATGTTTTGGCCAAAAACAACACCGTTATCATGCCTCAGCCACCGAATTCGCCAGATTTGAAAGGACGGCGTTTCGTGACGAATGAGGAGATAAAAACCGAATCGCTGAGAGAGCTCAGGACATACCAAAAAGCGCATAACAGAAATGCTTCGTAGTCCCCTTCAGATATGATATACAACTGTATGAGATCTTCAGATATGATACACAAGTGTATCATTGCCAGACGGCAATTAAGGCTGTCAGCTCATTTTAAGTTTTCTCAAGACTGGTGGGAAGCTGTCTGAGCGCACTCAAGGAGCTAAGTACCTAAAATAGGGTCACTCTAGCTTGGGTACCCGGATATGAGGGTCCCAAGGCAATGAGGAGGCCGATGTTCTAGCCCGTGAAGGCGCATCCAAGCCTATGATCGGACCAGAACCCCTCTGCGGCGTAGCGAAAGCATGTATTTTCCAAAAACGGTATGCTGAACATGAAAGGTCCTTCAGACTAGGAAAAATTGATTCGACGTTTTCAAACCATTCCTTGGCATGCAACCACAAGTTCCCGAATCTAAACAATACGGAAATTTTGCACTATGCAAGGAAGGATTACAAACTCAATTATTTAGAATCCTTGGAAATTCACAAGCATAAACATTGCGGATGCAACCTATTAAATGATCAAATCGATTTAGTTTACTTACCGGTTTTTTTTAATTGGCACATTCGCATTGTGAACTGTAAATTCAGGTACTCATTCAAGCCAAATATCTCTATTAGTACCTACAGGGGTGGTATATAAGGGCTAATGTAATGAACCATTGTTATTTTATTGTATAAGTTTGAAAATGTCCGTATAGACGGACATTATGATTTCCTACCACGTAGTAACGGCTACATCCATCAATTTATTGTTTTACAAGTAATTACAACTAATATGGTTTGATTGGTTTAGTATATATCTACCCTGTATGTGTGTTTGTGAGAATTAGTTGATGTTGCGGCAGAATGGACAGATGTGGCTGCGAAGTTGTTGAATGTGCCAAAGCTAAATCCATCACTTTGAATAGAGATGATTGATTTGCAAGAAAATGTGTCTCTGCAAATGTATAAAACGGTATCCACTGAAGAATTTTGAGCCGAAAATGAAAATTGCAAGAAAGTAGCTATACATTTGGCACTATATTTCGCTCAACATACGTATGTGAAACATCTTTCTCAAAAATGATTTTTTTTTAAAACATGTATCGTTCGAGATTGATGAACGCCCACCTAGAAGACATAGGTACTTCCAATTTGCTGTTCCTATCGAGAACCAAACTATAAAAAACTGACTCAAGACCGTCGGTTGACTCACATCAATATTTAGGTATTGTGTTTTATAATTCAGAATTTGATTTGAAACCAAAATAATACATAGGTAGTACCTAATTATTATCAGTTGTTCATTTCTGGACCTCGTTAAAAATTTTCCACAGTATCCAGACCCCACCCGAAACTATGGAGTCTCATTAAAGAGATCAAACTAGACAATGAGCTCTAACAACCAAGGAGCATCACAATAGATCTGAAAAGGTCGCAGTGAAGTGAATTAGGGCATGGGTCAGCTCCCCGAAAATCTAATCTGATTATATCTGAACGGGACAAAATAGAAATTGATGAATAAATAACTATTTTTTAAGAAAAATGAAAATTCACCGTATATGTGAGCAGGTAAATAGATTCAAATTTTATAATGTAATTTTCACGAAACTACAGGACGGAATTTTATAATTTATAGAATACTATCAAGATATTCAGTGTGTGATTTAAAACGATATATAACACGAACCTCAACGCAATTGAAATGTCTTGCGGTAATTATTTCCATTTTGCTTTGAGAGTTCAAATGGCGGAGTCATAAATATCAGAAAAAAGTGTCCCTCTTTGATGATGAAAATTTTGACGTATCTCCCGATAACGGCTCTGTTTCGTTTTCGTTTTGTCACCTCGAACATGAGATTATCTAGTATTTTTTTTATAATTACCAAGTCTACTGTTACAGTTTCTGAGCTGACAGGTTCGAATGAATTCCACTTATAAACTTGTATTGAAGCTGATACATTTAGAACTGGTGAAAGTAAATCCGATACGATGTATATTTCCAATGTTCTCTCCAAATTCAGGTGTCCTGTTATTATAATTGGAGCAAAGAAGTCTTGTGTATAATACTGCAGCATTTTCCATTTTCCAGTATGTTCTGAAATATCGAAACTCAAGTAAGTTCTATAGTTATCGCTCCTCGGATTGCAACCATATGCCGCTATATGAATTGGAAAAAAGTTTCAGAGATTAACCGAACACGGGGCAACTAAATTGCACAAAGAGTGTATTCTCAAGTGGAAAACATGGGTACAACAAATGAAATCATGCCAGGGTATTGATCAATAGTTGCCAATAAAGAGCACCCATTGTTTTACCCTCTCCTTTGTTGTTTAAACTACTTCTGAACCTTCGGTAGTGCTCTGTTTCAATTTTAATTGATAAAGCGTGGACGATCTGAAACCGAATACCAACGATGTCTTAGATTGAGACAAACGTAATAGCATATAAATATGGTCGAAGTAAACGATATTGTGCACACTTAAAGGTGGCAGCACTCTCAAAGGCCAAAAAACCAATACATGGAAATAAACCGGCTGCGAACCAGTCCACGTGGACTATAGAATTGGCGGTTCGTATTGGATAGTTTTTACTAATCGAGTTTCATCATTGGCTGAATAGTCATTAAATTGAATTTGAAGTCATGTTACGGTGACGAATAGAAATCGGAGAATGCGGAGATGGTTGTCGCCGTCGTGTCATCAATGTTCATCAGGAACTAATCGCGATTTGAGTGTTGAAATTCAATATTGGTGCAGTTATAATTACTTTAAATTTTTGTTATCTGTTTAAAATGTGGCGTCCTTGGACAAGTACTAATAGTAATAACGAGTTTGATAATAACGCAGACTTTTTCCAGTATAGTGATTCCAATACCGATGGTGAACAATGCGAAAAAGAGATACCAGTGAATAAGATTTGTATGCATTTGGATATTGAAACACAGAGAGTATGTTTCTTATATAAGAATCTACATTCTTATATCGAGGAAAACAAACTATTACAAGCAACATCAGATTTGACCAAAATTCATTTCTCAACTGTACGTAAAATAGTCAAAAAGAAACCTTATGATCGCAAGACGCGATGTGGTTCAGTATCGCCAAAACCTTTAGATGTTCATCTAATAAAATCATTGAAAAAACCAATATACGACTGTTACAAAAGCAATGAGATTCCTACAACTGAAATCATAAGGAATAAATTGAATACTTCCAGCCATAACATGAGCTGCTGTGACAAAACTCTTTAGAACTGGATAAAGAAACTAGGATTTAAATTTAAAATAATGAACAAATGTTAAGCAGTTATGGAAAATAAAAGAATAGTGGAATTATGTGGAAAAAAAGTTGAGGACTGCAACGTTGACTATCATAAGAACATGAAAGCTAATATTTTCGAGGAATGGTTTGAAAACACATTGATCCCAAATTTGGATGTGAATAGTATAATAGTTCTTGACAACGCTTCCTATTATTTGCGACAGCTCATCAAAGTACCGAATAAAAATTCGAGGAAAGATGAAATACAAAGTTTTTTGATGGATAATAATTTGTATTTTGAAGATTACTATACCAAAAACCAACTACTTGAAGTTTTACAGACAAAAACATTTGAAAAAGTGTATGCCCTTGGAAGTATTGCTGAAAAATATGGACTTCCCCTATTTTTGTGTTTTCAATCCCATCGAGTTGATTTGGGGAAAATTGAAAAGATAATAGAGCAAATTGAAGAAGAAGTATCTAATATTACCGAAGAATACTGGCAGAAAAGGATTAAAAAAGTAATTTGAGTTGAAAAAGAATATATGGAGATTGGACACTTCCATGGTGGAAATAAATTCATTATTGATTCAAATGACGACAGTGATATTGAAACAGATAATATGGAAGAGGAATTATCAGAAACTTTTGAAGAAAGTTAGTTAGCTAGTAACAAAATTAGTTAGCTCCCTAACTATATTACTAATAGGGAGCTGATGTAGAAAGGTATGTGGCACTATATCGATTACTTGAACTATACCTACAGAATAATATATGAAAGAAAAGGACTCTTCAAAATAAGTTGATAGATATGATAGTGAAATAATCACTGGTGATACAGGAAAATACAGAATTTTCGTAATCTATGCAAAAGAAATCATCACAATCGGTTGGCGAGGTAGGTATAGACTAGATTAATCCATTTTCACTGGTTAATGAAAATCAGTAAAAGATCAGTTCTGATATTTGAGAAAAATATTTTCAATAATTTCATTGGACTCGGTTCAATTTTATTTACATATTCTCAAACCGCTGACCACAAAACTTTGAAAATTGGATTTCTTTTTAACAGCGTTGAACAGAAGGAATCAAAGAAAAGGTTCTTCCAGCACACAAAAATCAATTTACTATTGAGAATGATAATTTGGACTCACCTGAGAGTAGAATATATAAGCTTGAGAATATTTGCTGCTACTTTCATTTGGCAACTTCAAATTCATTTCAATTAGAAGCGTCATTTGTGCATTTCCCAAAGGATGATGCTGTCGATGATTCATAAAATCACTGGTTATCTCTAGATCGCTGATTTGCTTTACGACTTTTGCCAATGAAGCATAGCTAGGCAACGACTGATATCCATATTCAGAAGCGAATCTTGGAACGGGATAAATATTTGAATCAAAGGGATTCAAAACGTAATTGTAATAATGCACTGAAAATTCAAATAAAAGGTACATTATAAAGTCCAATATAAAGGTATCTTCATATTGACAATATTCGTATTCATTAGCTAACAGTAAAATGAAATTGCTGTCGCTGTCAATAATATATTTTTTATGTGNTTTATTATAATTTTATAATTTAATTAATTATATAATTTTTCATTCATTATCTTTTACTGCAGCTTTCACTGCAAGGCTAATAGTTGCCACCAAAGCCCAAAAAAAGCATTCGTGATCTAACTATTGTCAGGTCTCATCAATGGTGCTACGCTGACCCACGATGAATTTCTTAGACAAGCCTGCGTAAGAAAAGGCTATGACACCTCTTCGTAAGAAGACATCTATTGAATCGACAAAAGACTCAATGCATGAATATCGAAGATAAACTAGGCTTTCCAAGACGTTGTAAAACGAAGCTTCGACTTAGGACGGGTCGGAACTGCACTCTTCGGTGTGGAATCAAGATTTGTTTGTGTGTCTGCTCTGTATGTATTGTTGATGTACAATAATAAAATGATTAGAAACAAAAGTGATGCTGTCCAACAAATAACAAATACCAAATAAGTAATAGCATCGACTTTATTAAGTATTTTGAAAAGCATATCAACAAATAATATTTAACAAATTCCGACGAATGAGACGGAATGCTAAGTAGTATCTGGAAGGAGGAATCACAAAGAATGAAAACGACGGATATGATCATTCCGGTGAGAGCTTTATGGGAGGCCACTAGTTAATGAACGATGTTTTAGGAAATTGGAGAGTACTAAGCAAGCTGGAAATTTAGAGTTGAGTTTCAAACATTTATGGATGAGAATATCAAGAGCAGCTTGTAACTTTCGTTACCACATCGTTCTTGATAATGTATACCGCAGTAGTAGACGAAACGTAAGGGATAAAAACCTGCAGACCATCGCCAAAAAACGGTATTCAGAAATCTCAATCGAAACTTATTGGTATCTTAACATTGTTCTGAATAGTAACAATTTTATTGGTATTCAAGTGAATACTTAATGGGTAACTCGCTTGCCGGCTCTGCTGTCTCATGTGAAGGCACGATAGGTTTAAACAATGGAATTGTATTGTTGAAAAATACGAGTTGAGTCATTTAGATTAGATTGTCGGGGAGCTAGCCCATTGCCTGAATCCCTGCGATCTTTTCAGATCTATTGTGATGCTCCTTGGTTGTCAGAGCTCATTGTCTAGCTTGATCTCTTTGATGAGATTTCACAGCCTTGACAATGACCACTTCATATAGCTGGCAGCCTCTGGTTTCTCTTCCCCGCATCTTGCGTGTTTAGGCCTTGCTATCGCTTCGCATTCACAGAGCACATGCAGTGCGGTTCCTTCCTCTTCTTGACAGAACCTGCATTGGGTTTCTTCTGTCAGACCAATGGTGCTCATATGTTTCCTGAGTCAGTTATGCCCCGTTAGTAGACCCACCAGTACCCTTACAACCTTACGGTTGTGGTTTAGCAGGTCTTCCGTGAATCTGGGCGATGATTTCTTTATGAACTATTTTACCTCTCTCATTTCTGGGAGCTTATTCCACCAATCTTTCGATTCGGCTTGCATCCATGAATTTATGGATGTATTTATACATACTTTCGCTACCCCGCAGAAGGGTTCTGGGCCGATCATAGCCTTGGATGCGCCTTCACGGGCTAGAACATCGGCCTCCTCATTGTCTTTGTGACCCCCATGTCCGGGTACCCAAGCTAGAGTGACCCTATTTTGGGTACTTTGCTGCTTGAGTGTGCTCAGGCAGCTTCCCACCAGTCTTGAGAAGACTTGAAATGAGCTAAGCGCCTTAATTGACGCCTGGCTGTCGGAGAAAATGGCAATGGTTTTATTTGTGACCTTCTGCCTGTTTATTTCCCCTATACAGTGTTCGATGGCCGCTACTTCTACCTGGAACACAGTTGCAGTATGTCCGAGGCTGAGTGCGATTCTTGTTTTTGCTCTGTGTCCGTATATACCGGATCCCACTCCTTCTTGGGTCTTCGTATAACAAGTTTCTTCCGCTTTTACCGGTGGGCCATTTCGCTAGTCCTCTCTATTTGGTATGATGATTTTAAAATCTTTTTGAAAGTTGTACTGCAGAACTGTGTTATCCACCAGCATTCCTGGTATTGGATCTGCCTTCAGTTCATTGTATAGTTTCAAGTATTCTGCACCGTGTGACTGACTGATTGGAGTTTGTCCTGCATTAGCCTGTGTGTCACCAGTTGAGCTTCTCTTTGTACGTAGATGTGCAATGGTGGAAGTCCCAGTAGGACCACAAGTGCTGCAGATGGGGTAGTTCTCGTGGCTCCCGCGACACTTAGGCACGCCAGCCTTTCAAATTGATGTTTCAAATGTTGGGTTTTAATTTTTAAAGGGATTTGTTTCTAAATCACATATTGGCAACAGCGCCTATATTAAGTTGATATAATTTATACGTACCTATATATTCTACTTTGAAAAAGGAAAATTATCTTTATAAATCAACAATTAAGACAAAATATAAATTATACTTCAATACCACCTCCACAAGCCATGCACATAAACAACAGTTGTTTTGTTATTTATTTATATAGGTTAGGTGTACAAAATGACATATGTCACAGAATGTCTCGGAACTCGGAACATAAGTAAACAGAACAGCACGCCTCCAAAATATGTCATCTTTGTTTGTCTCATACAGGTAACAAATTCATTGTCCTTTATTAGCTATAACCGATGTTGCCAAATGGTGAAATAGAAACGAATCCCTTAAAATGTTGAATGATTATTTAATTCCTCTCTTTTAAGTATTTGAATAATTTTTTAAAGAAAAAGGTTGAAATGATAAATTTAAAATGCGTTGTTTTAGAGCTCTTTTATGAAAACTACTTGATTTTCGTCAGGAGGAACATTCCCCATTGTACTTTCAAATAAATTTTCTTGTTGAATGTAATTCCTTGTTAATGATTTAATTTCAGAGTTGATATTTCATTGTTATATCGATGCATTCAGCTGAGAGAAAATTTTCTGAGATGATTGTCCATTTTTCAAACTCACCAACCGTGTTGGTAAAACGCATCTTGAAGAAAACTAATTAGTTTTTTTCATCTGGTGAAACGCGCATCGTAAAGAGTATTGCATATCTGGTGATTGAGAAAAGTACTTGTTTTGGTTGAAAAACACGGTCAGTAGTAATAACTGACTTAAAATATGATAAATAAAGTCATTATACGCACCATCACCGTACAACGGGTTGCCGGGATAAGTAGAGACATATCCGTCAGACACTGTTTTTTTTCCATTCGAAGGACTGGAACTTACGAAAATTCCTCTATTGTGAGTGATACGATCGAACTCAGTTTTGATAGTATCGATATATAGGGTCACATAATCATTTTTATACAATGTGAAATTATTTTTAGTGCCGTACCTGAAACAATATTTTCAATTTCTATTGATACGGAAAACAAAATATTTACCAATCATCGACGAGGGCACCTTCATTTTCATTATTTCCAGAATAGAGTGCTACACTAGCATGGCTTCTCAGTCTCTTAACTTGGTGTCGCACCTCGTCTATAACATTACTGAAAACGATTTAACTTAGTAAATACTTGCAAAGTATTTTGAGGGTGTTTTAATCTCACCTGCGATAATTTTCGTCTGACTGATACATAGCGCATGCAAACATAAAATCTTGCCAAATGACTATTCCCAGCTCGTCTGCTAAGTCATAGAAATAATCAGATTCATAGACACCGCCTCCCCAGACCCTAAGCATGTTCATATGAGAATCGTGAGCTGCCATCAATAATTTCTTTATAGTGGTTTTATTTTGTCCTCTTTCAGGTAGTATGTCGACTGGAATCTCATTCGAACCTTTCATAAAAATTGGTTCTCCATTTATTTTGAAATAGAACGTCAGTCCAGAATCTATTGGCGAATAAAAAAATTCATCAAATTCAATAAAATGAAATGGAAGAGGACACTATATGGAAGAGGATGACTATAGAGTCAATTCCGAATATCTGAATCTAAGTATGGGAGTGCCACAGGGTTCAATAATGGGTCCTCTACTGTTTGTACTCTATGTAAATAACATTGAATCAGTAGTTACCGAAGGTCATTATACCGCTTATGCAGATGACTTTTCGCTAGTTATATCTGCACCAGATACGAAAGAATTACAAAACAATTGTGCCAGAATAGTAAGGCGGATATCAAATCATTTCAATAACAACGATTTATTTTTCAATGCGGACAAAACAGATGTTATTCGTATTCACAACTGGCAAAACAGAGTGGAAAACATACATTTCATGGTGAACAATGTGACCCTAACAAATACTGATCACAATGTAAGATTCTTGGGAATCATTTTAGATGAGTTCCTCAATTGGAAAGGCCACTGTCAACAATTAATATCAAAACTTAATTCATTAAAGTTTCTCTTCATCAATTTACGAACAGTTTTAACAAAGAGTCAGCTGCTAAATATATATTATGCTCAAGTAGAATCAAGAGTCAAGTATGGTATCTGTTTTTGGGGTAGTCCCACCACAGCAGGAAATGTTTTTATAGCACAAAAGCGAATTCTGAGATGCATAGCAAATTTTTCTAATAGAGAATCATGCAAGGCACTTTTCAATGAGTACGGTGTTTTAACTTTAACATCAGTTTATATTTTTGAACTGTGTATGTTTGTGTTCAAAAATAAATCAAGATTTACAACAAATCTAAAACTTCACCAGCATACTATAGAAACAAAAACCATTTTCACTTAGCTAGATTCAAAGTAACATCATGTGGACCGTAATACATAAGTCCAAAGATATATAATCACCTTCCAGATTATTTAAAGGCCTTAAATAGTTTTTCTCTGTTCGAAAAATCATTAAAAAAATATTTATTGGAAAAATGTTTTTATGCTTTGCAGGAATTCTTTGAATAATGCATAGTCATCTTAGTTTTAGAGCATGAGCCTGTCTTCCTCTTTTCTTTTCTTTTTTAATTTGTATTGTATTGACACTTCCTACACAATTTCATTGTTCTGGAAATAAAGAATTATTATTATTATTATTATTATCATTAGAAAGAATAAAATAGTTTTTGTTTCAGTCATGACTTTATTGATGCCGCGAGCCCTCTGTAGTATAGGAGATTCGGAGAAAAGACCAGAAATGAATCTGATGATAAACAGAGGAACCACAAAAGCCGAGCTTGTGGGGAATCACTTGATTCTATTATTGGGCTGTCAAATAGCCCGTATTTAATAACACTTCTTTGTAACATTGCTAGGTTGTTTAAGCATGTTCATCAATACCATACTACACACCGGAACAAAAACACTTGATGTTGTCCACTCCATCTTAGCATCGATCTTAGAAAACTAGATAGGTAGGTCCAAAGTGACTACCACCAATGAGGGTTTATTGTGGATCACAGATATTCCAGTTCATCACATTCCAGGCACCTTTTCCATCTATATGCTGAGTTCGATGATCCAATAAAACTAGTATATTCTCTTGCATTTTGATTTTTGTTTTATTACCGTTATGTGATTTTTCATTTAACAAAACTTTTTCTTTGGTGTATTGAATCGAAATCCTAAAAATAGTATGTCCTGGAAAGGTGAAAATGCAAGGAAAAACCTGAATATTTCTCCTCATTCTTTTCCTAATGAAAGAATATTGTCCAGATGAATGGCTGATATATAAGTATATGCTTGAACTTGAGCTAACTAAGGATAGTCAGTACTGGCTGTAATAGTTTTGTAAAAAAAATACATGGCACATTCAATTCATTTTAAATTAAAATAAGATATTGTGAAACGTCTTGCAAATCAATCTTTCCTAAGAAAATATTTTTGTTAACATTACTCATTAGAAGTTTGAAATGAGAAACATCCACAATCGTGTTCTTTCAAACTAAAAATGAACCTACGTTCCCCATTCGATTTTTCTACAAGAAAATATTCGGAAACACATTTTTCATGCTGACAAACACAAATGGTCTCATTATTCAATAGAACCTTTATAGCCTCCTTCATAAAAATATAATTTTGAATTGTTCTTTAAAATTCTGGCCTAGGAAATTGGAAGAGTAACGACCGACTTGAAAGGTATCGTATTACCGACAAAATGGTAAATGCTTTCGTTGCCGAGGTTTTCAGTGTCACTATTTTTCGGGTTCAAAGGCCTTGGATTCCTGAAAGAAATTCCAGGAAGAAATTCCAAAAATCCACGGCCTTCACACCCGAAAAATGGTGACATATCGTAATACCATTTGCTCACGAAAGAATCCTATGATTTTTTTAAAATTTTCTTCCAGTTTTCAAAACACCTTGACAGTTTTTCATGAAAATTCACTTTCATCTGTGACTCTGGGTGTCTTTATCACCAATTCTCTCTGGGTTGAGTTCGTTCAATGTTTGTCTTCTCAAGTTGATTGTACTTTTTCTTTTCTCGGTTATTTTCCGCTCCAACCTCCCAATTTCTCTTTTGCTCGTGGAACTTGACGCTTTGAAGATTCTGAAATTGGTATGGCTCACGGGTTTGAAGAAGCTATAGCCTTCACTGCACCGCCGTTACGGTGCAGTCATTATTTACTGAGACTTCGATTCAGCTTATTATACAAATCATACTGTCGATGCAAAGACAAACTGTAAAATATTCCTACAAATAATTGACAGGCATCAGCCGAAACTGGAAGAACATCCTTTTGCATATCCAATCCCCCAATTTCCCAATTCCAAGTTGAGATAATTTTTCATCTGTTTGTTCAACTTAGGAGAAGTTGAGCAGGTGCGATGGATATTTATCCATGATATGCTCTCTTCAATCTATTGCAAATGCGAAGGATGTTCCTCGTTCCTGTGAAACTGACGGGTTTTCTGAACTTCCTAGTCCCATACCTTGTTGAGGTTTCGGGTATCCGCCTCTAATAACGGCTCTATTTCCATCAAGACTGGGTGAAAATATGTTACTACTGTCACTTTTTCTGATTGATTTTCATCAAAGTCTACAATATAAAATGATTTTTCTGAGGATGAAAAAATTGGCGCGACTTATTCGAATACATGTTAAGTAACTATGTGGCTACCAAGGGTGTTAGTGTCAGAAAATAAATTATGTAATATTATGTGTATACATGTTTTCATAGTGAGACAATATGCATATGTCCCCTTATTTGTATATGAAAAATAGGAAACGTTTCCAACTCACTATTGGAACTACCATCACTCGAATCATTATGTATGTCTTTTCAAAGTTATTCGAATTGTCTTTGTAAAGATTAAAATTTTCTCCTCTTTCCCCCCTTTTCTCTATTCCTTTCCGGACTACCTGTGTTCAGTATGGCACACAACAAAGTAATGATTCACACTAATAGCGAGCATAGCCAAGCAAAACAGGGAAGTTTTTTGATTGATTTCTTTAAATATGTGTGGTACCCAAACATTGTATACTACATGGTAAACGTTACAGATACGAAGTGAAGAGTTAATCAATCCATATAATACAAACATTTCACTGTGGACTGTGGATCAATTTTTGTAAAAAATGGTTGGGAAAATAGGAGAGGTTCTATATTGAAAATGATCATCTACAATTTCGACAACAATAATTTCAACTTCTGCAACGATCCTTACCTAAAGAGTCCTGAACTAATTCAACTGTTCGAAATCCAACTCGAACATTTTTTATGTCATGTTCAGATGATACTTCGTTTGAAAAAACTACATTCAAATTATAAAGATCATGAGCTCCATATCCATTTGGCCACCAAGTATTGACGAATGACTACAAACAAAACCAGTTGATATGCGCCTATTTTTTTAAATCGTTCTATGAGTTCTTAAAGGAATCAAATATGAAAATTTATTTTGCGTACCGCCTACTCACTTTAGATATTTGAACAGTTGTAGTAACTACAGTTTCGTTGTAGGCGTTCATAACTGCATCTACATGATTCACCTGCGTCATCTGGATGTCTTTCAAGGTAACAGTATACATTAAAATTCCAGTAACAGTTCCCTTTTTATTATTTGCCAAATAGGTGTCAAAATTCAAAAGCCAGTAATCACCATCTTCCGATTCGGTAACATCAGTCACGATGTATCTTATGGCAGATTCATCAAAACTCTCTATATAAATATCTTTCCTGAAATAAAAATTCCATTCTTTCATAATCGCTAAAATTGATGAAACTTCAAAACTCACCAAATACCAACGGATGGGAAAGACGGTCCCCAATCCCACGAGAAAGAAGCTTGCATCTTTCTAATCATATTAACATGACATTCTCCTCTGTACGCTGCATCAGGACAATCCGGGGGTACATCATATAATTTAGATTGTTGTTCTGCGAGTCTTGCAGAAACTTCTATTGGCGATAAAAACTGGACCTCAATCTCATTATTACCGACCTGGAAAATATTGTTCAAAATAGATTTAACAATGTGGTTTTGTTGTTTTAGATACAAAAAACTGAAGCGGATTGAAGCTGGCCCAAAATGGAGTTCGACCTGATAGGCAGTAATTCTCCAAGTATAGTAGAGTTGTAAAAAGGTTACAGGGCTTAGTGCAAGTTCCTATGTCTACGGGTTGGCCTATTCGATTATTGTGTAGCAAGTGAGAGTTTAGACGAGCTGATGATGTGCTGGGGCAGCTCCATAGTGACCGAGCAGAAAGATAACACAAGCCATTTTATGGACATTTCAGGTTAGAGTAGAGAGCTCTCTGTCTGACAACAGAGAGATCCTCGCTGGAGTGCCACAGGGGGCTGTGCTCTCTCCCACGCTGTACCCCTCTCTACACCAGTGACCTTCCGAGGTCCGAGCGTGTGAAGATATGTCTCTACGCCAATGACAGGGCTCTCCTCTCATTTTCCATGGGTCGGGAACTCGGGATTGTGTATTGGATGACCTCGAGCGCTGGTATCTCGAATGGAAGATCCGAGTGAACCCAGACAAGACTCAGGCGATAACCATAGGAAGAACGATATCTTCTCCGGCAAGAAAAGTGAGGATCTCTGGAAGGGAGATCGACTGGTAAGCGCGGGTAAAGTACTTCGGTCTTATAATAGACCGCAGGCTCACCCGGAACCCGCACATCACAACCGTGAAGGCAAAGATCGAGATCGAGATCAAAGGTCTGTACCCTCTGATCAACAGACGATCCAAATTGAGCCTAAAGAATGAAATTACGACTACAACATGATATTCAAGCCTGTCATCATGTATACTTCAGGCGTCTGGGGACAAGCGGCTCCGTCTAATATCACCATTCTGAAGAGACTACAAAATAAGTTAATACGGATGATTGTGAATGCTCCATGGTTTGTGCGGAATGAAACCATCCGCAGAGATTTGCAGCTGCCTTCCATTCAGCAGTCCATTCAGTCGAGGAATCGGTGAGTTCTTGATTGTGCGGAAACTCACGATAATCCGTTAGTTAGGGAAGCTATAGACTATGCTGTAGAAGGCTCCGACACTCTGTCGAATGAAGCCCTCATGTCCCCCGTTAACGGATGAACAATTTGCTCATCCACTCACTCCAGCCAGGCAGAGGTTCACCGTGAAGGGAGGTACCGATGTCTGAGGACATTCATGCCGCCATTCCATGATCAGTTATGACCCATTTGTCCTTCTGACTATTGCCAGTCGTAAGGGTAAGGGAGCCAGGCTCCAACCTGTTCGAAATCAAAATGACTTTGGTAAGCCATTCTATTGGGTCAACTATCGCCGTGATGTTGAAGAATGGTGTTAATGACGTCACATTTTCGTTGCAAAGAAAGGTTCTATAAGTTGATGAAAAATCGTAGATTATATGTCCGGCACTCTTGCGAACGGCTGGCAGCAAGTATTTTTTTTCCGTGACTGACAATGAAGTTTTTCTAAATGTCTTGAAATTATTCGTGTTTCGATTTAGGAAAGTGTTGCAGAGGCGTTTCTCGAGAACGTAATCGCCAGACATAAAGTGGCCTCAGAATTGCATTTCGATAATCAGGGACGCAATTTCGAGTTTGGACTGGCAAGAATTTATGCAAAATTTAGGAATCGAAAATACTCATCACACAGCATTTCATTCACATTCAAATGGAAAGGTCTGCCCATACTTGGTTCATAAAAACAAAAATACTAGTGCAAGCTGGTGCCTTTGTTTATTATGTCCCATAAAGCAACAGGCTTTACGGGACATAAGCTACATCGATGCTTATTTGGCTGGTCTTGCAGTTACTTAGACAAAAAAATGCATATCGATATTGAGGAAAGCAAAGAGAGGTTGGAAAGATGCATTGATTTATCAGTCATTTAATTAATTAGTTACCAGGTGAAAGATATTTCAGTAGAAATCTTTGTATCAACCTCAACAAAAAATAAGTCTTGTCCCAAGCTATAAAGAAGATGGAAGATAAGAGATCTGTCATATTCAACAAGTAAACAAAGTAACTTGAAGAAGGAAAGAGGACTGGATCAACTGAATGAAAAGGGTCTCTTTTTTCAACGGCAATATCACATGTTCACCTATCCAGTTTCGAAAATATACTGGGAAAAATGTTAGGTGAAATTGAAAGTATATGTATATGGTTCTATTCATATGTTATATAATACATCTATTGAAGGGCAGTTTGTCTCAAACAGATTCAAGTCTATTCATACTTGGTCATAAAAAATAATTACCTTCAATTGATCCTTTACATCAAATATATAACGAACAAACATGTTTCTGCTCTCACCCACTTTTTTACCATTTACAAAGACATTGGCGAACGTATCCAGACCTTCCAAAACTAAATTAACGTTCTCTTTGTTCAATGTATTTGCATCAACTGAAAAAAATGGCTACGTTGAATTCAATTATTTATATGAACTATTTTGATAAATGAAATAAAGGGACCACATGATCACTTTCGTCAAAGCTACATCTTCATGATAAAGAATAAAACTGTTTTTATTTTTGACATTATATGTAACCTCTCTGATGAACAAATTTTGTATACCATTCACAATTTATCGCTTTTCTGAAGCGAGTAAAATGCATGGAATATGTACGCGAACGATCGTTATTTTTGTTTTTTTCTTCTTTATACACTAATAAATATCTAGTACATATAAAAAGTTCAAAATCCCTCATTAGGGAATATATAACGTTGTTTAGGAAACAGATGGCACTAGGAGATAAAGTGTTTTGTAAGCAACTCCTAGGACAGATTGTCAACCACATAAGCGACTTGGAAGCAATGTTTCTTTGGATTTCACTTGTTATTTCTTCTTCAAATGCAAAAACTGTAAAAATCTTAGAAAATCGGGAATTCTTTAATTTTTTTATTGTGGTTTATTGTGGCTCACCAATTCAAACTTTACCAAATAAGTCCAACTTCTTAACGAAGCCATTTGGTGAGTGATCTTTCATGTCTGTTGGCAAAAGTGGTACTCTGCCAAATGCTAAAACCCTGATCCAGTTCACGATGGGACAAGCACAGAATACGTGCTATACTACCAGTGGCCAAATCTAGTGAGAACCTCTCCGGTTCTATCAAGAGTTATATGGAAGACAGTTCGGGTCATTTAGTCGACGTCCATCTCCTCTGAAGATTCAGGTTCGAGTTTTTGGTTACTCCACGGTTCATAAGGGGGTCTCACGTCACAAACCCATCACTGCAGAGTCTCGCATTACCCTAAAAAGGCTTTTTACGACGAGAGAACGCCCAATTTTCGAAGGTTAGTGTAGTGACACTGACTTGTAGTCATGCATCCTCTTGGATGAATGACAATTATAAACACACTTCAGGAAGAGGCGTCAGTTAGGAGGATTTTCACCTCCATAGGTAACACCTCACCTTTCAGGGGTATTCTAACATCCCCCGGTCAGGGCGGCATAGAATACGGCAGTGATATGATGATAACTCAAAATTGTGTCACGAAACGTTAATTCTATTAGGTTGTTTCAAAATTTTTGTCCGTTTGTATGAGTCTACTTGGAACTGTAATATGTCAGTTAATTATTATTCTCAGTGCACTTTTGTCAACATAACACAAGTCGATTAATTTCATTAGCATAAAAATTGGGTGCTCGCGATTTGATGGAGTCGACAAAGGCCGTTTTTGCCTGGCCCTGAATGACGAAGGTTCTACCGCTCAGAAAGTTATCGAAGCGCTTGAAAAGATGACATTCGGTTGACAAGAGGTCTGGGGAGTATGGTGGATGAGGTGGAACTTTGACGCTGAATTCGTTTAATTTTCGGACGGTGATTTGTGAAACTTGTGGATGTGCGTTATCGTGATCAGGATCGGACCTCTTCTGTTGACCAATGCTGACTGCTGCTAATCATGGTGTTTTTTGGTGAGTTTTCGCCTTTGGAAAGCGCCTCGGTGGCTCAAATACTGTCTTGAATATCTCATCTTGTCGTAGACGATCCACTTTTATTCACACTTGACTATTCGATCCAAAAAAGGATTGTTTTAGTTGTACAAAAGCAAAGACGAACAGACCATGAAACGCGACAATTTCTGTCGATCGTTAAAAATGTGGGGCACCAACTTTTCGAGCTTTTGGCGTTTTAAACTATCAAAAACCGCATGGAAGCTGAAGATCAGATCTTTTGCCATCCAAAGCACCGTTTGTGATGGGTCAGTCTCCAGTAGGGTCCTCAAATCCTCGCCCTGGATTACTGTATGTTGGCCACTTCGAAGCTCATCTTCGAGGCTAAAATCTCAAGAACGAAATGTTGCAGAACAACGTCGAAACAACGTCATTAACAGTATCATTGCCAAATGCTCCGTTAATTTGTCGGGCTGTTTCGGCAGCGTTTTGGTTCAACTGGAATTCGTAAAGAAAAAATGGCCGAAAATCGCTTTACACCATCAAATAGTAATAAGAGGCAGAAAATCAAAACTTGGAAAAAATGAACAGCATCATATAGAGTACAAAATTTTCTATCATCAGTATATATCACGAAACAGTAGAACAAATATTTATTGAGATAGGTATGGAGCTACGAAAATACCATTCATTTTTGACGATTGAAAAACATTGTTTCAGTGCGGTTGCAACCATTGACGAGTAATCTACCAAATAAAACTCACCACTGAAATTTCTATAATATGTCCAATTCAGTCTTGGAACCCATTTTGTTTCACTGTCTCCATAACCAAAAAAAATATCGCCAATAATATTGTTGTTCATCAAGTCGCTATAAATACCACCTGGGACAGTAGCTTTGAGATCTTCATATTCTGCAAACAGAAATATATTTCATATAACAAAAGTCGAATAAAAATGAAGTTATGTCGTTTGTAAACAAAATAAAATATTCGTCATTGGAATCGGTTTCATTTTTTTAACGATATTCTTCTTCTCCGTAAAGTTCGGTCAACTTTTATGAACATAAAATTATTTTTTCCAATTGTTTACTATTCCATTTTTTATGAAGATTCAACAAGGTCGCCACTCACTAAATCAAAAAATTATTAAAAAGTGTACTTCGATGTGTGTTGGAGTTGATCTTTGAAGCAATGGCTGACTATGATTTACCATGTACTTCTGGCCGCTAGATTCAAGTAGCACAGGTCGCTGAAACACTTCTCCTGATGTGCATCACCAACCTTCATTTGATGTTCCAGACTCCAATAAGACGTGTTGCATTAGTGATCTTAATTTTATTCTGAGAGAAAGTGGACCTCAATCAATAGTTATGCCGAATTGTAAAGACCACAGATTTGGGAGAAACATCTAAACGACTCACCAAGCTCCATATGTGTCGTGTACTACATAATCTACAGCGGTAGGTCAACCTAATAATTTGATGCTACGAGGGTGGTTTGAAAATTTTCCGGCCTAACAAAGACACAAGACCAAGGATTTTTTCATTCCTTAACATAGTCTACTTTCAACTATACATATTTCTCCCAGTGATGCTTCCTTCCGTCTCTGTAACCCGTCCAAAAAGTACTCGAGCGCAATTTTTGGATGAGGAAACGAAAAGAAGTCGCTAGGGGCTATATCTGATGAGTAAGGTGGATGGTCAAGCAGTTCAAACCGTAATTCGTGGATTTCTGCTATGGCAACCACTGAAGTAAGAGACGGTGCGTTATCTTGGTGAAACAGGATTTTCTTTTTCTGCAAATGTAGCTGTTCTGCCTTCAGTTTTTATAATGTGCGAATATTATTAGGATCTTTTGAATATATAAGATTAGTGTGATATCATATTTTTTTATTCAAGATTATTTTCAGAATATAATTCTGTAATACGTTCAGTTTTGCCTTTCAAAAACAAATATTTAATGACAGATCGATACTCGATTTTGTCCATTTTCATAAAAGTACTCACATTAACTCACTCAAGCGAGTATTAAATAACAACTGCGCGTCTAAAATGGATGAAACTTTGGTGAATAACTGTCGACAGATGAACATCGCTTTTATCTTTGTATCTATATACAAAGCTTTTATTTAGGAGTGCTGCTATCTTAATGTTGAGCTCGGAAACTTTTCAAACCATCCTCGTTTATCTGTTATTCCCTCATTGGGGTATTCATAGCAATCCAAACTTGGTATTCAGATCTATGAATCAAATATTTGCCGAAAATGGTGAAAAATGAAACTAAAAATTTCTATCGAAAAGTATATAGAGAGGAAATAGAAATTCAAAAACATAGGGATAATTTCAATAGAAAATAAAAGGCCATGAACATTAATAAAATCTGGCTACCTGTCCTCAAAGGTACACATAAAGGCAGGTAATCCACTAATAATAATAGATTAGATTAGATCATCAGTTCTCAAACTGTGGGTCGCGACCCCCTGGTTCGAAATCCTCGTTGAATGAAGTAGCGTACATTTCTTTGAAAGCTTAATTAATGGGTTGGTAAAGTGGTTTCTCGAATTATTAGGTCATACTTCTCACGGAACCCGAAACGATGTACAGTACGTGAATTTCATTATAATAAATACTTCCAGTATTTTCTACTTTAGCGGAATTGTTTTCTAATGCCCCCGATCATAGCATGTGATTCCAGAAACATGGTGTATCTTCACATTATGTACGTCCAGTCCAGGAATACCTCGATCAAATATTTTCCAATTGAATTGGTAGAGAAGACTTACTGAATAACCAGTGAGATCTCCAAACTTGACCCAGTTGGACTATTTTCTTTGGGGTTGTTAAAAAAGTAAAGTTGTCTCATCGTTTATAGACAGTACTTCCAACATTCAATTACATTTAATGATTTTTCAGGGGCCTATTTCTTGAAAGTTCACAAAAATATGGTTGATTTCTCAATTTTTCATTTGAATAGATTGTGTTGAACGTCTTGTTACCTATAAATATATTATGACATACTTTTAATTTGCTATACGCAGCTGAAAATCGAGCTATAAGGTCATTTAAATTCTCAAAGTTGGGGTTATCGCCATTCAAAAATAAAGGGTGAATCAAAAATGATATGACTGCCTTGGTCGAATTGAACATGAAGTAACAAAACCTTCTGTCTGCTACTGCGGCAGACATCATCAGTAGTAGGTATATGCGTTTACTGAAAGGACGAAGGTGATATATCTCGAAGTCTCAGTCTTTTGAGAAACTCTACATAGTATTATAACAACAATTCTTTATTTTTGTATGTGACGTGCTTAGACTTCAATGTAGTTGAACACGAATGAATTTGGGCAAATTAATTTATTGAATTTTTTATTATAGATTAGTGTTTCAGATCATAGTCCAGAAAAATAAATATATTTAACCGAATTTGGTGATATTCCTTTCAAATGAAATTGCGTAAATCCTGTATAAGGGTACTTATGCTCTTGAGATAAAAAATGTGTATATTACTTGATAAAATGAATAACACGCTTCATTCTAATCTCATTTCTCATCGATCTAATTTTTATATTTTTTAAACACTTATTCTTGTCTAGATAAGTAATTAAATTTCCAGTTGCTATGGATTATTGAGATTATACAATGAGATAACTGTTTACTGCATTCCTTGCTTGATAGGCAGTTGAGGATCCTCACAAAACCAGTGGTGACTCAAGAGGAATAGGATTAATAGGTAGATTGAAACCCTGGCGTCAAGTACAAAATCGTAAGACAAGTATGTCACTACATGAGGATCAGACAGACTGAGACATCAGTGTAGCCACATTTCTCTCTTCTTTCCAGTTTTTGAAAATAGCTGATCAAAGCCAATAAGAAATCGGACACTACAAATATCTAGACGCAGTTCAACCAGAACTTCCAACACTCAAATTGTAGGAATCTAGTTAAGCCAAAATAACTTATTGAACGATGTTCAGTGGACACGTATAAAACTATTTGTCTGTTTGCTCAGGAAACATTTACCTTGTATACAAGGGAATCCTAGAACAACATATAGGAGCTCTGTTACGCCAACAACACAAAGTATCGAAATCGCATTTAGAAACCTAATCNAAGGGACCACTATTAGATGCTAATTAAGTGCTAAACGAGGACGTACTCTATCAGGTATATACTAAGCGAGGTAATAAAGTGCCAATTAGGTGCTTGCAAGAAATTAAGATGAAAACGACCGCGAATAAGGGGAAAAAATTCGAGATACCTGATTTGAGAAAAAAATTAACAATATGCAATAAAGTCTTGAGATACTCGTAAACTAATACAGAGACAATCAAAATAAAGTGCTAATTAAGTGCTCATTAGATATTCATAGTAAAACTAAATTTAATGCCTATGGGGCTCATGGACCTAAAAACCACCATGACTGATGTACTGAGTTTTTATAGTACGTTATTTAATAAGGGCAAGAAATTGAAGTGCTAATTAGGTGATCACTAGATAAATAATAGTAAACCTAGATTCCATAATGCCTATGGGGCATTATGGAAAACCATTATGACTGATGGACTGAGTTCTTACAGTACGTTCCTCGATAAGTAAGGGTATGAGAATAAAGTGCTAATTAGGTACTCATTAGATATTCATAGTAAATCTAGATTCCATAATTCATATGGGGCTTATGGACCCGATAACCACCATGGACCCGATAACCACCATTGAAAAAAATTTAATTCACACCTACGAACGATAACCCTCAGAAATCGAAACTTGTGCGAGCTAAGATCTAACGAGGTCTTACCTTTTAATGCGTGATTCCTAATATCTAGTTTACATCTAGTATATAGCTTAGTTTATACCTGAGCATTCGTCCTCGTTTTCGAGAGACCTGATTCTTAGATCTGTTATTTAGCGAAATTGGAAGCTTTTGTTTATCAATTATAAAATTTTACGATCCTCACCGTTTACCACTTAATTAGCACCTAATAGTGTTCCCTTAACATTCATTATTTTATTATTATTTTCATTGCGTTGCTAGCATCACATAATGCTAGCAACGCAACTTTGAGAATTGAGTTGCGGTGTAAGTTACAGAACACCTAATTTTTGACTCCGGTACCTGAAAAGCACCTAAAAAGTACCTAATTTTGGCATTTTCTAAATGCTATTTCCGTACTTTGAGTTGCTGGCGTAACAGAGCTACATATAGGTAGTGCAGAGAATAACCTAAAAAGTGTATCGATTTCTTTGCGCTTTGCGAATGAATTTAAAAAGCTGCATCTACACTTTTGCAACTATAGCAATAGCCTTCTCGATTTCGATAGGCTTTGTTTGAAGTTTGGACTTCCATTGACTGATACGATATAAAATGATTTGAAATCTTCGAAAGAATCAATAAAATTAAAGAAGGTCTAGTTCAATCGACTGGCTTATATAACTCAAGGTAATTTTTCAGTTGGGTATTTCAGTCAAATTTCTTTACGGCCTGTAAAAACACTATTTTCTGCTATTCAGGCTTTTGGAAATTTATTTTTTCCTTTATCAAGGATATCTACAAAATAAATGTGATGCAAACATTATACAGTAACAACAATTTTACAAAAGACTCACCAAAGTTAGTTTGAAATACAAAAAAGGCATACAAACATACAAAACCGAATTTCAAATGCAAATGTGACGTTGAAAATTTTGTTACAGCACCAGAGAAAATGTGATTAATATGATATTTGCATATATAGTGAGATTTAAATGTAAGTGAAGAATTATTAGTGATCCATAATTTTTCTTGTTAATTTTAACTTGAATTTTGTATTTCAATAGTTATTATTATTATTTTTACTTATATGAATCATTTCCAGAAATAGCCTTTTGACTTTATTACTTTGAACTTCTGAAATTTTTGTATTTTCATAATCCATAACATGATCTGAAGAGATAACATGTTCAGCCAGTCCAAAAAACGTTTATTGAGTCTGCAGTCACTTTTGTATGACGTGATTCTTCCAGAATATTTCATTCATCATCAAATCTTAACCGAAAAATCGAAATGTAGCAACCGGCGTCAGATTTTAATATTTTGAGGAAATGTTTATTTTTTCCAGTAACCAACCATATGGTTCACAGAAATACCGTAAAATCCTTATTTTCAATTTTTGAGTTTTTTTCAAAACGTTTATGATGAAAATTCATTTACTTTCCAAAATTTCAAAAAAATCAATGACACTTTTACCATTGCAGCAAAATCAATATAATATTAGTGTCTTGTGAACTAGTGATTTGTGACTATTTTAAGAGTACATATCTACTTGTATTCATGATATTTTTTTTGGTCATATTTGATTGCGGATGATAACAATAGAAACGTCGTGAATTACATTATTTTGGTTTGAAATTTTCTTATTTCAATGTTCATTGTTCATCATTTCTTTTATTTTTTTGTTACTTGTATAATATTGATATTTCACGATATTACTTTCTTATCAATTCGAGTTGAATTAGACGCATTTAGAATATTCTTCCAATATTTTTTGGGAAAGAAATTTTTTGGCATTCTACTACTCCATCATGATACAGAAAAATGTGAGAATCTTCCAAAGAAAGGAATAAGTCACGGAATAAGTTTGATCTACTTATGTCATCGATGACATCGTAATGTAATAATGAATTTATATATTCGCTTGCTATTTGGGTAGGTCCTACGTTTTATTGACTTGAAACGCTGGTTATATATAGTTACAAATGTATATAGGTACATTTACTATTTGTAACGAATATGTAATGGTTAATCATTTGTAAACTAGAACTCTCTAAAATTTGTTACATGCAAATGAATCATCCACGCTTCAAGAACGGTCCAATTAATTGTTGATATTGAAGTAAAAAAAAATCATACAATAATTTGCTTTATTCGATTTGTAATGAACCAGCATAGAATGTCTCTGTATATTCTGAGGATCAAGAAATTGATTTCCATTACAAGACAATAATGAAAAATATGTATTGCTACTTACTTCCGTTAGCTTCTCTGAGTAACCATTCGCCTCCTAGATTTTGTATGTTTGCAGCCTCGCAGGCCGATAGAAACAAATGCAATGTTAGAACTAGTATCAAATTGGTGGTCATTATCCACTTGCAATCGTCAATCGAATGATGAACTTGGTCCTTGCACTTCAGATGAAATACTAACGCTGGTATCTACGTGAATAAGGAGATAATCAATAAAGTTTGAACAACATTTGAAACAACAAAACATTACTGAAGATAAGAATTACAGTTATTTCTGTAAACATATATACGTGGTATGTACAAAAAATAAGGGGAATTTTAATTTTTCTCGAAAATATTCATTTTTTCATCAATATATATTTTGTTCGACGATTCGACTATTCATCGTGTTCTCAGACTCATGTGATGATTTGGAAGTACAATCAAAGAGACCAACTTGACGAAATGTTTTAAAAGTCATGATGAGTATCTTTGATCCACTTTGTCTGATTGTTAACTATGAAATAATTGGAGGAAAGGATGAAGGAAACAACAAAAAGAAAGCAATGAAACCGATCAAGAAGAATTTGAGGGGAAATTATACTGTTCCTTTTTTATAGTCATTAATAATGAGTTGGTAAATTCTATAATTATTTGTTAACATCGATTGCAGGGGAATACAGTTGAATAAATCTCATGAATATTTGCGTAATTGAAATTTGATATGAAATACAAAATTTTGGGGATAGTTCAAGTATTTTACAGTCCTTAATTGGGTATATTTAGAATATACACTTGCCTTGCCGAAATTTATTGATGATGTAAGTATTGAAAGTTGATGGCAGTAAATATTATAAAGATTGATCTATTTGTTAAACATATTACTTACTCATTAGAATATTTTTGAAGGAACGTATTCAAAAAACACTTCATTGTGAGGTATTTCATCAGTTCGGACTTCCATTGTCTAATCTAATATAAATTGATTTGAAATTGAATAAAAGTTTTCCTAATATTACAAATTGTTTTACATTACCCCCATCAGAATCAGGCACAGAATAAGTGCTCCCGTACTCGGACCCAAATTTCATAATTAAGAATAATCCTCTAGACTCTACAAGGTTGACAGATCATTGTACAATTTCCTCAATCTAATGTGGACTCGATCCGCGGTCAGTCTGCGACTACCTTTGTCAAGTAAGTAACCAACACAAATGTGTGACTTGGGAAGCAGGTCTCCGGTGACCAACTTCAGACAGACGCTCTTTCGCGGCGACATGGTACTAACTACACCCACCAGCCAGGATACACTTTCCTGATGTTCTCATGTAACCTGTAGTTATCAATGCCACAATGTGTAGCTCTGAAACTTATTGAGCCTGTAGATGTTCAAAGTGCAACATCCCAATTTTTGGGCCGCAATCTTCCCAGCTATTCCCGACAAAACATTATATTCAGTTATAAAGGGCTTTTTCGCCTCTGATTTGAGTAAATCATAGTTTGACCATAAGAATTTTCAGGACCGGCTCAGGCGAAGATTGTGTTCTCTCTCGCTGCTCTAGAATTAGGTACAAATCAGATTCATAAGATATTCTGCTCTTGAGTCGCTTCCTGGCTGCACAACCAAGCAGTGTAAGGCTAGGGCCGCACTGCAGGAAGGTTGGTAGGATGGTGGATGGTAGATAACTGCCTGGCGAACGTCCTGCTATTTATAAACGTAACAGAACGACGGTAGCCGCAGTGGCCCCTCACTACCATCTTACCTCCAGAAACCATACGAAGGTACGCCAGGCGTCTATCCAACCTAATCAGTCGTGTTTGATATTTCAGCCGGCTAGCCCAGTTAGGGAGGTAAACGTAATGAGTTCTGTGTACAAAAGAAGGGCAATTTGGGACCCAGCAGACCCATTGAGGTAAAATTCAAAAATTTTGACGACACTGTTGATATAGCTTCTCTGAAGTTCGTTGAAGTTCTTTGCAATTTGCATTCAGTCAATTTCAAAAGTAGGTCGAGTGCCTCAACTGACATCCTTAAATACAAAAAAAAATTGTCAAGGTGTTGTCGTAATTTTTTTTGTAGACTCTCACGAATTCACCGTCCTGTTGACGCCTCAAATTGTAAGTATGCACCCACGGTATTTTTATAACACTATTTGCCACTATAATTCTCGAATATGAACTTAGTAAAAAAGAAATCGCATTTTTAGAGAGAGGCATGATTGTTGCTTTTCCGCTTTCAGTTGGATATTAGCTTCATTTCACGGCGTCTAGAATGCATTGTCCCTCCACCATCCACTCTCCAAGAGATCATCTAGCATCCTGCAATGGGGCCCCAGGTTAAGAGTTGGAAAGCGGGAAGCTCATTCTGTTCGTCCGATGTTACAGGGAAAACAGCTGGAGTTGTTTGGTCAACTACCATATCCTCTGTAAATGCAACTCAAAAGGTGCAAGGCTGAGAAACCCTCTCTCTTGATCCTTTGTTACAGAGAGGATAATTGAGGATGTTTATACTCGACGTCGACAAATTTTTTTTGTTACAACATGGTCTATAGCTAAGTAGCTTCTTCTCAAGAGACTATCACCAGAAGTGTACGACTGACATAGTCCGCTTGATTTTGCATATGCATCGCCCTCAGACATGTTTGTGCATCTCTATAAAAAAAAGTATCGATGTCACTCTTGGCTCTTGGGTTCATCAAAGTCGATTGTGAAGGCTGGAGATCTGCAATATTGAGACACATCTGCATGAAAGACTTATAAACGCCATTTAAGATGAGATTTTCATCAAAAAATACACAACTACACAACTAGTTGTGTACTCTCTGATTTTGATGCGCATTTAAAACCAAATTGTACCAGCCCCAGAAGATAGCTATTGGCAGCTGTTGGTCACACAAATCGATGTCAATAGTACAGTGGCGTCGATAGTTATCTAGACAAAAATAACAATTTATAATGTATATAAAATAAACCAATAATATAATGAGTGTCATTTTTAATAATTCTATTGTGCGTCAATAAATTGGTCACTACAGGGTGTCCCAAACCTCCGACAAAATTCGAAATCTCCGTTATCTTAATAGTTACAGGAAAAAGTTACTATGATGAATTTTAGGCACCACTAAGATTCATGTGTCATTATGTGGTGCCCTATATTTAATTGCATTTATAGAATATAAATACATGAAACAATAAAATACAATGTAAGGATAAAATAGCATTAAAAACAATACAAATTATGATGAATCCAAAATAATTCTTCGTCTCCAATGCGAAAATATCCAAATCCTTTTTACTTAATCTTTTGCTGTAATTTTTTTACATTAACTCGACAAATGTCTGTCTTATGGAAATCATGAATTATACGGCAAATATCCATTATTTTATAAAGAGGTAAATCGGTAACAGGTGACTTTTTATCACGTTTTTTTTTTGAAAAATTCATTTGGCCGTTATTTTTCAATGACCGCTGAGCATCTTGTACAATTCTACCCACTGTGCTAATAGAAACTCTTGTAACAAGGTATTTTACTTCAGAGCTAACTGAAATAACGTAATTTAAGTAAAGTAATCAAATAACAAACTTGTGTAGATATGTCTAATCATTTCTTTAAATGAAAAATGTGGGAAAGCATACCATTTAAAAACTGAGTATCCGATGTTTTTTAACACCTACAAAATCATCAAACTATCATAGATTTAACAATGTTAATTGAAAATACCACCATAACATTTTTATTGAAATACCCGGTTCCCTCATCAATTTTTACAAATTATTTGTGATTGGCTATTTATTTAAGAAATATGTTCATCTAGTGGTCTATGTGTATCTAATGGTTATTTAATAGAAATTAATTAATCAAAAAATTGGTTACCCTAAACTCAATACATATTATTGGAATGTAATTCAAAGTTATTTACCTGATGCTTGCGATGTTTTACTTTTCACCATTAACAAAGTGACCAATTCACCTTTTCTACTTTTAAAGTAATTATACACGTTTTTTTCTCATCATTTTGAAGTTATAAAATAAGCTAATAAGCTAAGTTAATAAACTTAGGTGTAATCTTTTAATGCACTGTTTGGAACCTTTGGTGTAGTAATGAATATTACTGGAGTTTTTTCCCAACACCAAACTGTTATTTTAACACCTCGACACGTGTTTCGATCCCCAAGTGATCATCTTCAAGAAGAATATCAAACTGATCTTCTATACGGTGGTCAAAGTGTTTTATGTATGTATGTGAATGCCTACATGGTGACTCACCACTTTTCAAAGGTCGCCAACATTCTGTAAATACTTCCATGATGATTCATGCATTTAATTATAAGCATCACGTTGTAACCAATAATATGACAAGTGTTTCTTGTGAAAAAATTTACCCATAAAATTGTACCAAAAACTGCTTTCACGATTCCTGTGGTACATTATAACCTCTTACTTTTTCAAGTTCTTCACAAATACCAACCAGAAAATCACAAGTTCAACTGACTGAAGTTTAAACCATTCATTGTGGCGTTTTGATGAGAGGGCGTAGCTGATTTTATAATAGAGCAAATATAACACTTTCATAAATGAATTTAATTTGCTCCTGATGTGTAACCACAAGACATTATCTCATCTTCTTCTTCATGAATATGAAGTCATGTGAATTCAATAAACATAAAGCGCAATCAAAGAAACTTGAAAGTAGTAGTCCAAGAACCCAGACCCACCTTACCAACTTCATTTTAGCAAAGCTAATATTTCGACAATAGATAAAATGTATGCATATTTGCTGTTTTTAAGCAAGGCCCTCCTTCTGGCACTGAGAACCTACATGCAAATTTTAATATCATGTCATTGCTATTAATAAATAACAGTGTTGTTTGAATGTATCAATTATCTATTTTTGACCCTCTGCACTAAAAAATTTCGAACATGAACATTTCTGAAGTGAGCTCATCATCAGATTAAAATATTTAGATTATGAAGAACAAGTTTTGGTGAAAAAATAATTACATTTAGTTTTTTTTACAAATTTTTAATAATGAAGTATAAAAATATCTATAACAGAATTAAAGCAGCTGAATTAAATCATCAGACTTTTCTGAGAAAGATCTAATAAAAAATATAACAATCATTGCAATTAACATTTGGGAAATATTTTTATTTACACTGTACACTTGACTCAACACAATTTAATTAGTGATCCGCTAGATCTTTTTCCTTTCTTCGATTTAGACATTCTTTAACATGTACTTCATATTCAGTAGAAAATGGTATGACGGCATCACATATTTCACAGGAAATTCTTGATTGTTTCTGAGGAGATGTATGTTCAATCTGGTCATCTCCACACGTTGATGCATGTTCCTGAAAAGATGAGCACTGTAGTGATTGAAAAAACAAGAGAATTTACAAAAAATCAGCAATCCGTCTTCGACAATGAATATGTTCTGTTATCTGAATTTGAATTTTGAAATTCTATAGGTAGAGTTGTAAGAGTAGTTCGATCCAGTTAGTCATATTAGTCATTGATTAGATCATTCCTTGCCATGACAAAGAGTGAAATTGAAATACCTGAGATTACATTAAATTAATAGTCATATACATAATCAACATAAGAACATAAACACAGTGTTAGCTTTATCTTAATTCCAAGAAAAATAACTTACAAATCAACCTAGTATAGCATCGGCAACATCAAAAATAATATGAATTTGCTTCTTACCACTATTTTATTTTTATGGAAATTATCTCCACATATAGGACAAGATACACTGTTTGAAACAGGAAGATCTCTACTTCTACTTCTAGGAGATAAACTTTCAGTTGTCTGGACTTGTGAAATCCTTCTGGTAGAAACAATATTTTTTGGGATTGAAAATGTCTCTGAACTTTCACTGGACGCTTGACTGGAACTTGCAACAGGACTTTTCACAGGAGAACTATTTTTGTTGGTCTTTTTTATATTCAAAGGCTCAACATCTGAAAAAAAACTTCACTGTATCCTAGGTTTCATGCAAAATCAATTAGATAAAAAGTGATCTATTGTGATCTAATCATAATTTGGAATACTTGCTACTAGGTTTCTTCTTTCGACTATTTATAGGTTTTCGTCCCTTTAAAATAGGCGGAGGAGGTACTACTCTTCTAATAGGTTCCTCCTCATCCACATTTATAACTTCATCAGTTTTCTCAGATTCCTTGGATATAGCATTCAAAGATCTTTGAAATGATTCCATAACTTTCTCTTCGATATCTTTCTTATTTTTTTCCTCTACCAATTTGTCGAAAATAGCTTCAGTTCTGTTGAGTCGAGGAGAAGAATCCGCAAACAAAGAAGACCTCTTCATGATTTCTACATTTGATAGCCTTTTTAACTTTGCACTTGATTTAGAATTCTCACTTATCTTTGGGGTCAATTCCGGTTCTTGTTCATTTACGTCTGAAATCATAAGTATTACTGATGAGAAGATATTTTTAATTTAACAGAATTTCACGAAAATAAGTTCTGTGAAGCTGATCCCTACAATATTGATATGATTGTTCACCTAATAAGTAGAATTTGAACTTCTGTCCTGAAATGAATTCATTGAAATCACTTTTCTCTCACTGAAAAAGTACTGAATCTCATGTTCACTAACCAAGTAAGCCTAATGAAAACGAAAATAATCTATTGAAAACACTTTTCCCCCGTCAGTACAAAACCTAACAGAACCAAGTTAGATTCACCATCAGATGACTAAAACTAAATTTTATAGCCATCTCAGAGTGTTTATTTACAAATGTACATTACCTTACATAATGAGGAAGATCAAATGAGTGCCATTAAATTAATTACTAGTATTGTATTCTAATTCCTAATTTATATATGAATGACTACCTGTTATGATACCTAATATTTACTTGTTTTCTACCTGTAGCTATTATATAAGAGTAAACAATGGCCCGTTTGGAATGGGATCTGTGTCGCTGTTCATAGATCTCATTCTACTATCATCGCTTTCTAAATTTTCAAAGGCATATGTTGTCTGCATCGGTCTCGACAATTTCAAGCATTTCTCACGTATTTTATGGTTGTTTTCTGAAGTATGTTGGGTAACACTAGACTTCTCTGGTCTATGAAACCGAATATGTGAAATGTGTTCTTTGTGACGAGTTATTATAGTTGGCTTAATTTGACCAACATACTTTTTGTCGCAATCGTCACAACTTATTTCATAAATCACAGACCTTTTTCTTTTCAGTTATTCTATCTCTCGGGTTACCCATCATTTGTTGAAGTGATACTTTCATTTTACCAAAAAGTTCACAAATTATGCAACGACCTGTTTATTCAGTACTTTTTCGACATTCACTGACTTCTGTTTTCATTGACCGAACTCCATTAGAGAGGCTTTCAGTAAAAATTATTTATTTTTTTTTATTAAAATTTTCTGCTTCATACTAAAACACATACTATTAAATTATTTGTGTTCTAGAAGGATTGACTGTAATCCCAGCCTCAAGTGAGGAAATTTCAGTGATGATTGGTTTTCATATTATTCAATGGCAACACAATGACAATACATAATTCATCTTTCTTCATTGTTGTATGAGATGTAAATTTCGAATTCTTTACTTGATTTCAAAGAAAAAACTATTGAATAAAAACTTGTTTGATTCACTCCAAGGTATATTTGAAAAACTCATTTGGCTCTGGTAGAATTTAATTTTTTGACAAAAAGTTCTCAAAGTTGAAATTCTTGATTTAATGGTTGAACCACACACTTATACTGTGCAATGTTAACCTACTTTTTAAATGATTTATTATTTTCGATGAATATCCAGAATGAGAATAATGGTCAATGTAGTCGATGCTGATAACACAAATTAAAAATATATATATTGATAAATTTCATAACTAAAAGCAATCTGAAAATGGCATTCAAAAATATTATTTGTTATTTTATTCGATTTAAAATTGTTCAGAAATGTAAAGAATGGAAAAAAAACAGTTGGTGAGAATTTAACTCATAATCATGGGTATGCAAGCCCATGTTCCAACTCCACAGAGATCTTTCTATATAAGCCCGACATAAAGCTAATTAACTTTCTAACCAGTCTCATTTTGTTATCAAGTTACAAAGTTTATAAAATATCACACATCACAAATCCAGATAAATTCTCAAGGTTCACTTATGATGTTAGGAATCACACGTTGAAAGGTAAGACCTCGTTAGTCTTTAGCTCGCACAAGTTCTCAACTTCTGAGAGTTGTTCGTATGGGGGCGACAGCTGACTAACGGAAAAACAGATTTTAAAACACATTTAAACAGAAACAGATTGAAAATAATTGAAACACAACTGAAACGTTATGAATTTGTTCATTTCTTAATGGCCTCTAAAGTAGTGAGTTATGAATCAGGTTAACTGTGTTTAGTTCTAAGGTGTGAGTTATGGATCATTTTGCCTACCTACCCAACAGGTAAAGGTCACATAATTGAAGCTTTCGGCAATAGCCACAGAAAAAAATGTTTATTTTATATTATATTTGAAAACCAACAATACATCCCAAGAACTGAACACCACCACTTATTTATTGTTATTTATTTATTTATTTGTTTCAATTTACTGTAATTATTATTAAAGATATGCTAACATCTATTATATACAAGAATATGTATCTGAATTGAATAAATTTATTGATTGACATCCAGAGGTGAATTCGTTGTAACTTTTATTGGGCTATTCATATTATCAACAGATTATTTGAGTATTGTTATCAATACTGAACTCCTCTAAAAATTATATTTATTGCTTCATCTTCTATAAGTTCAGCATGCATTTGCTACAGTCTTTTGATAGCCATAGTAAAAATTGAATAAACCCAAGTTGTGGGGCTAGGGGCTGGCCTAACAGAGCTCTAAAACATCTTTAGCTTTTGAAACCTGACTTGAACATCATTATAAAGCATTTTTTTCTGACTTGACTATGAATTTTAATGAAATAACAGACACAGTTTAATGCAGTTTCTCATCCTTTTTCCTAATGAACTTTCAATGAATCATGAAAAAATGAAAAATCTAAATCCTTACTAATATTTTGATAATCCTCCTTATATTTATCCTCAGTTCTTTTCTCAGTTTTCCTAGTTGGAGTTTTTATTTTGGAGGGCCGTTCTTGGTCTTCGGAACCTTTTGTCTTTTTGATGGAAGTAACTCCATCCAAGCTATCTTCATCTTGATCATAATAAACCTTTCTTTTAGTTTGACGGCCTGAACGACTGATATAAGTATCTTCCTTATCTCCTTTGTTATCTGAAGTATTAGTTAGAGACTGGTTTGTGCTAATGGGATCTTTCAACGGAGCAGGATAAAATGACTTTTTAGCTAATATAACTCTTGATAGATCAATTTTGGTATGATATGAATAGAGAGTTTTAGCTTTCAGCAAACAATCAGCGTTTAAAAATCTTTGGGAACTTTGGATAGGTACAAATTTTAATTCATGGGGTATGCATTGCAAACTAATTTCAGTACTCTTGGGCATATCATTAAAACCAAAACTATGCTTGGTGGCATCTTTCACTGAATCTAATGATTCGCTATATAAATCATCCGAATCATATTCGTCAATTTGTTCAGATTCAATACTTGGTTTACTACAACCTGATGTTTTGGGTTCAAATACTTTGAGTTGCTCCAAGTTAGTGTCCTCTTCTACATCAATTTCTTGATTCTCATTCATTTTCTTAAATTCGACTTCCTCCTTAGACTTGGTTAACAGATTACCAATAGATTGAATGTCTTCTTTTGACATGTTTTCTTCATACATGCCAGCATCTAAAAAGGTTTTCATCAAGTTACTATTCCCAAAAAATCATAAAGTTACCTTCTACAATTTTTTTCATTTCTTCAAAATTTGGATTTTCGTCCATTTTTCTTCATTCAAAATCATAGAGTAAATATTGGGAATCAAATTTATTTGAAAAGGTTAGGGAAACAAACGTATTTATAAAAATAAAAAATTTTGGCGGTATTGAAGGAAAATTGTCCGTGACTCCGTGACCATGGACCATGGAGACAGAATACCTTTACAAATAACACAGACACTGAGACATTCAGTACGGAAGAGAAACCATGAAGTATTTTCACAGATGACAATGGGGAATGTTCCTCCTGACGAAAATCAAGTAGTTTTCATAAAAGAGATCTAAAACAACGCATTTTAAACTCATCATTTCAACCTTTTTCTTGCCTTTCTGTTTACTTATGTTCCGAGACATTCCGTGACATATGACATTTTGTCACCTAACCTATTTTCCTCTATATAAATAAATAACAAAACAACTGTTGTTTATGTGGCTTGTGGAGGTGGATTTGAACTAAAATTTATATTTTGCCGTAATTGCTGATTTATAAAGATAATTTTATTTTTTTAAAGAAGAATATCTAAGTACATATAAATTATTTCAACTTGATATAGGCGCTGTTGCCAATATGTGAATTAGAAACAAATCCCTTCAAAAAATAAACCCAACATTTGAAACATCAATTTGAATAATTTTCGAAGTGAATTTGAAAAACTCATGAATTAAACTCAACTTCATTTTGTTCAAACTTGCATTTGCTGTAATAACCCAAATTGAGGAACATTCCCCATTTTAAGAGAAATTTCTCGTCGGGTTGTTGATAAATGTTAACATTGACTAGTTGTAATATTGGAGCTTGGCTAGTTGTAATATTGGAGCAACACATTGCCGAGATATTATCGTAGTAATTTCTTAACTGCAATAAAATTATATATCTGTTAAGTAGCCTATCAATGGCGGTTCTGGGACCAACTTTCGGTCGCAGAACCGTCATGTGGTTTTCTGGAAATCATAAGGACTTTTTGACTCAGTCATAGAGGAAATCAACCAGTAAGTCCACTCCCACTACTTTCATTCATGAATTCACAAAGTTCTCGGTGACCTCGAAACGAAGTGTGGGGCCAATTCCGTTCTTTTACCATAGGAGTGTGCTCATATAAAAAAGAAATTATTATATTTTGTGGTAAATTACTTATAACCAACTACAAAAATTAAAAACAATAATAACAACAGCGAATAAACTAAACACAGTATCAATTTCCGATCGTTTATTATAACTAATCCGATGTCCGTGTTACCGTCAAATCTTTCGATACTACAGCACTGAACGCATTGGAAGAGAATCTCATCCTGAGATAGGTTGAAGGTCCTCGGTAATTCGGGCGGATCACGTGGTGAGAGAGCCTACTGGTTGTATTATTCTACTGTGACTCGTGTTAGGTGGAGGTGTTGGAATGTATTTGTAGAAAAATATGTTTGGGAAAACATCTGCAAGTCGTTTTACGGTGGGTGTGAGAGTTTGATCCCCAAGTCATCTGAGGTAAAAATTTTGTGAGAGCGGAGTTGGTTGTGGTAAACATGTTGCGGTTGGGCGCCGGTTTTAGTGTGGTCATGATAGGTTCTAGTTTTGTGATTGGTGGTAAAGTGTTACATGACCAATATGGCTTGTTGTTATTGCCGGTGAAAGTTACATAATCGATGATAGGAAAAAATGACGGCTGACAAATGAGAAGAAAAAATTGTAGTTAATTAAATGGCGGATTGTGATCGGCGAGAAAATGTATCACGACGAAAAAAATTATAAGGTCACGTTCCATTAGACGTGGTGCGTTAGTGCAACATCTTTCAGCCGTCGGCTGGCCGATGAGTCTTGGTGGGTTGGAAAAAATTTGTCTCCAGGGCAATGGGGCCTAGTAGGCGATGTCAAAATCAGACCACTTCCGGTTACACCTCAATTGTTCTATTTCGATGAAATAGGTTTCATTTGAATCATCTGGGTGTTGAAAAAACGAATAGATCATTTTCTGAAGCCAAAAGAGCATTAACACCTATTACCTTATATCAAGTGCAACAGGCTGATGTGGGGAATCGTTTTAAACATAACGAAAATTATAATATCTAGCGCGAAATATACCATAGCATAGGGAGAATTGAAAATTTGAAGGTTTTTTAGTGTTGTAAACAACTAGACACCAAATTCCATAGTAGCAATGATACACTTGTAATAAAATAGATTATTCACGAAGTCATTTCCATATCAGTTTAAAATCTCAATGAGAGTTTGTTAGTAGGTATACTAAACGAAATAAAATTAAACTCAGCTGAAGTTGCCATCCAGATACTCTTGTACATTATAAAAACATTTTTCAATAAAAAATTCCTTAGTACTTTTATTAAAAATATTGTCTGATTTGGAGTTTTTTAAAAAGTTGGGTAGTTTATTATGAAACGTAATAGCACTATACTGAGGAGAGTTTTTAAATTTAGATGTGGTGTGGGCTGGTATTCTCAATAAGCTTCCATGCCGTGTGTTATGATTGTGGGATGATGCATTGGTTGCAAAAGTGGACAGATTTTTTCTCGCAAAATTAACACATTTGAACAGATAAATTGATGGTGCCGATAATAGTTGCATTCTGACAAATATCGGTTTACAGCTATCTCTATATTTCATATCGAAAATCAATCTTACAAATCGTTTTTGTGCTACAAATATCCTATTAATATCTCTACCAGAACCCCAAGACATTATATTGAGTGAAATATGTGAATAAGCCATAGCGAAATAGATTGCCAATAGACCTTGTTGGTCAATACAGTTTTTCATTTGCTTGATCGCAAAATATTCTTTATTTAGTTTTTTACAAACACTATCAATGCATTGATCCCAACTTAATGTTTCATCCAAAATTGTTCCTAAAAATTTAACTTCGTTTGCTGCATTGATATTGATATTATCGCACTGAGCTAATTCACTTATGGTACCCCTACTTCTATTATAAAATCTCATCGATACCGACTTTGAGGTATTCAGAACTAGACGATTACGATCACACCAGCTTGTGAACTGGTCTATAATCAGTCTAACTTTTGTTAGCAAATCATCTGTAGTAGGTCCAGCGACTGTAATGGTGGTGTCGTCAGCGAACATAGTTAAATAGCAATCACTCATATATTCCGACAGATCATTGACAAAAATTAAAAACAATAGGGGACCAAGAACAGAGCCTTGGGGAACCCCCAATCTAACCTCGCGTTCATTAGACATTGAATTTATTTGCTTTACAATTATGCTACGACCACTCAAGTAAGACTTAAACCATAGTACTATGTTATTAGGCAAACCATGCACACTTAATTTGGTCAACACAAAATTAGTTGATACCGTGTCAAAAGCTTTTGACAGGTCAAAAAACACACTGATAATAAAATCATTTTTAAAAAGTTTTTCATAAATATGACTGAGAAAACAATAGCTAGCTGTTTCAATAGAATGATTTTTCCTAAAACCGTGTTGGCAGTTTGATAGCAGGGTATTACTTTCCAGATAGCTGATAATTCTGCTAGCCACTAATTTCTCATATAGTTTGGGAAGTTCACAAAGCAGAGAAATTTGTCTGTAGTTATCTATTTCGTCTCTACTACCTTTTTTAGACAACGGTATAATTAGAGCTTTTTTGAATTCATCCGGAAAATATCCTTGGATGAATGATTGATTGAAAAGATAAGTGAGTGGGTCGATTATAGCATCTATTATGCTCTTAATAGTACTCATAGACAGATCATCAACGCCTGATAACTTTTTATTTTTCATTAATTTTAGGGTATCATGTATCTCACGTTTAGTTATCGGACTGTCTTCGTATGAATAGAGAATATTAAGCTTAGTACTTCTAGTGCAAGGTAGTGATAAGTTTAGTCCAAAGTGATTATTTATGAGAGATTCGGCGGCTTTTGAAAAATGCTCAGCAAATGCATCAGCTACTTCTAAGGGCTTCCCAATGGTTTTGGGAAGCCCTTGTTTATTATATTCCACGTTTCCCTAGTTTTATTGGTAGCATTACTAATTTTTGCGGAAAAGTAGTCTAATTTACTATGCCTAATGTTTTTGTTATGCTCTTTAAGTCTATTTTTATAATTAGACATGCTTAGCAAGTCAATTACTTGAAAACTAGTTAAGACATGGAACATTTCTCTCAAATATTTTCCCTCTTCGACAAGATCATTGGTTATCCAACGATTATTTAAATTTTTCGCTTTGACAATTTTCTTTGGACAGGAGACTTCAAAACACCATTTAATAGATTCCAAAAAGTAGGAGAATCCTTCCTTAACTGTGAGATAGGACAGAGTTGGGAACCATTGTATATTATTCAGTCTATTAATGTAAGTTACAAAAAGGATTTAATGCTCTATAACCTCTTTTTAATTATTTGCGAGCGCTTTCGACAGCTGGTCGTGCTGTCATCCACTAGGCCCTACTCTATCTGAACGTGTCATCCTGTTGTGTATCCTTTTATACGGTCCGAACGACTCAATACAGGTACTTCAGGTACTTTAGGTAAACTTGCCTGTATTTGGATTACATCAGGTATAGGTGGCGCAGTGGACATCCCACTGAATCAACTGCAGAGAGATTACATGACTAGCTGGAATTATATTTGTTTGGTCGTGATACTCAGACGGTTCATACCGTTCTGAAGAGACCATGCCCGGTACTGATGATGGGGCAAACACCCCGAAAAGGGTCTATCGGTTTGTTGGATCGATCAAACGAAATTGATTTCCGCTTCTCATAGTGGGAAATAACTTGCGACGAATCTTCCAAGTCGTAGACGTTGCACAGGTGCCCGATGGTTTTACTTCAACTCTCTGCGCGGCATTAGTTGGGTTAGTATAAATGCGGGTGGTATAAATGCAACTGTACTCCGATCCACTAGAAAAAATACACTAATATATTTTGAAAATTATATGTAACAGAAGTTCTCGTTATCCAACAGAACAACAGCTCTATGGGGAATTAAAATTTTTAGATTTAAGACAACTGTTTTCTAAAACGATCATTCATTTCTCCTGAAAAACGGAAATTACTTGAAAAACTTACCCCACAATCGAACAACACGAGCACAAAACTCTGCAGCAGGTACATACCAAGAGCAAATAAAACAATTGGTCGAAGATGTTTCAACTATATTGAAGATAAACTCCTAAATCATCTTCCTGTCTCAGTTAAAATACTTGAGAATATTGATCTGATGAAGAAGCGCATTAAAAAATGGATTCTTGAACAAACTAGACAATTCATCAAAAACTTTGTAGACTCAGCAAATTGATTCCTAATTCTTATTGTTTTTATTTTCTTTTCTTCTAGATTCGTTTCAATTTCCATTCATAAGCTTATTGGTGAATTTAAAAATTTATTATTTCCGCAATAAAAGCTTGTAAACTGATGAGGTAGAACAATCATAATTCACATAAGAAGAAACAAAAAGAAACATTTGTTTCCACAGGTTCCACAGGTCCACAGGTTCCATGTGAACCTAATTGGCATTCGTTTTTATTTGTTCACTATCTATAAATGTACTAAGGATACTTTTATGTTTTTCAATAATCAATGTGATAATTCACATTCGAAAAATAAATATAATTATTACTCCGATCATTCCCTATTTGATTTCAATTTAAGAGCCACCGGTAGACAGAGCTGTTTCAGCATGTTGGGCATCGTCAGTACCGGGCAGGCGGTCCTCGATTGAAGACAAAATGTGAAAAACCAAAAACATTACTTAATAAAAATAACTGCGAGAAATCAAGCGAAACATAAGTGAAACCACCTATTGGTGTGGCACTAAAAGGATTTGGAGCTCTATAACTTCTGTTTAATTATCTGCGAGCGCTTTCGACAGCTGGCCGTGCTGTCATCCTCTAGGCCCTACTCTATCTGAACGTGTCATCCTGTTGTGTGTCCTTTTATACGGCCCGAACGCATCAATACAGGTACTTCAGGTACTTTAGGTAAACTTGCCTGTATTTGGATTACATCAAGTACTATTCTTTGTGTTGGATCTTCTTTAGGTTTATTGTTTCTAGGAGTGTGTCTTGATTTGTTTAATATATTGAATGTTAAGTCTTGTGTTTTGATTTGTACTTGTTCCTCGATAAGTGATTTATGACTGTTAAATTTATGGATGTTTAAGTTTTCCCAAATAAATGTCCATGCGATTTCCCTTATTGACTTGTTTTATGAGTTTTATTTTCTCTGGTGGGGGGAAATTATGTTTGTTTTGTATGGCGTGTGTTGCGAGGTTTGATTTATACACTATTGGGTTTATGTATGCCTTTCTGTGCTCATCGTACCTTTGGATCAGTTTTTTCTTGGTTTGGTCGATATAGAATTTGTTGCAGTCAGAGCATTGTGTACTGTATATCCCGTTTTGGTTTTTGCCTTCTTCTTTTTCATAGCTGTTTATTTTTTGTGTTATTTTCGTGTTTGACTTGTATGTGATGTTGATGTTCAATAGCTTGAACATCAACATCACACAACGAACATCAACAAAAAACTAACAAACATCTTCAACAACCCATCTACGACAACCCTCAGAAGTCGAAACTTGTGCGAGCTAAGGATTAACGAGGTCTTACCATTTAACGTGTGATTCCTAACACGGAATTATTCAATGAACAACCAAATCCAAAATATGGCGGTTCTGTAACCAAATCGTAAACTAAATGGGAATATATAATTCATGAGTAGTAGGATATTATAAAGAAAAGTCAGCCAAAAGAGGTGCACTATGAAAAAAAAAAAACAAATAAGCGCAGCTTTAAAGAAATTAAACGGAAGATATATTTCAACCTCGGATATATCAGACAACACTGGTAAAATCAGTCTATAATATTTTAGGGTACCAACACAAAAAGGTGTCGACTCAAACATTTATCGGGATAAAACGCGATTGTACACTGACTGTATCTATGGTCAGAAACCTCGATTGTTATCATATTGGTCACTTTTTCAAGCAAAAATAGACTTTCTACCCTCAGGTCGCTCACTGTTACCACCATCAATGGGAGTTACATCCATTTCTTCTTCAACATAGCGGTATAGAAGAAATATGGACCCACAACTTACAACCAAAATTACTCCTCCAGCCATTGCACATGGCTGAAAATAATATGAATGAAATGTTTTCCTTTAAACGTTCAAATAACTACTCACTCCTGGAATCTGATATTCAATCGAAGTCTGGTTGCATTCCTTATACGTGATTACAGAACAAATGATCGTAACAAGTGACAGAAACAACATTACACCTATATCCTGAAATAGAAGAAAGAGTTAGAATATAAAGAATGAAAAGACGAATGAAACACATCTGTTTTTTTAAATGACAAAATGAACTTGTTTATAACAACTACAGACTACAACTACAACAACAGTAAATCAATATGCTTATACTTACTAGATATATCCAGAAACCAGGTCTACTAACTGTACAGCCTATAGAAAATATGAGATACAGGACAATCTGCACGCTCAGAGTTGATAATACAACCACTGGGAATAGGTAAGCATACCAGCTTGGAGTTTTTGGACAAATGTGTTGCCCAAGGAATAATGATACACTGAATAAAAGGACAAGCTGTAACAGAAAACAATATCAGGTGGTTATGAGTTATGAATATGTTAAAAGATGGAAGAGAATGAATTCAATAGACAACTAGAACTACTGAATACCGCATCCTTTGAAACTGAATTGAATGGAACTGATAAATGAAACAATATAAATCACAAAAAGTTTTTTCTACATCTGCATAAAAAAAATCATGAAATATATACATAATTATTGATAAATTTGATAATCTAATATTGAATGAAAGTCAGGCTTTGTGGACTTTTTATTGCTCTTATAAGAAGATACCTATGTAAACAAATGATATTTACGATGACATTTTGGAAACATCTGAAAATTGTTCTATATACAGGGTGTAACTGAATAAGTGTAAAACATTTAATTAGGTGATTCCTCATTGAAAAAAAGAAAGGATCTTTCATATAAAGAAATTTCATTGAAGCATCCCTTGTTATGATACAGTCCCTTAAAGGGGGTACATAAAGTTTGTATAATTTTTTTCGCAAGCACTGATAAAGTTACAATATTGAAATTGACCTGACGTTTTGTACTACCAAAAAGACACTTAGCCAGTAATTTATTTGGTTTACCCCATGGTTGTAAGGGGTGGAAAACGCAACCCCTAAAATTTCCAATGTAACTTTTTGTCTTATTATTTGTTTACCATTTAAAAATGTATTTCCGATAGCCTGTTTCATTCTAAACAAAAAATGTCTCTTGGAATTTTTGCCCAAAATGAACCAGTTCGCAGCAAAAAATTATTTTAAGAACAACTACAGAGATACATCGTCATAAATGCGAACTGGATTTATTGTTATTTTGTAGTTAGTACCTGCATTAAACGATTAAAGGTTAATAAACAAAACTAATTCATTAATAACAAAACACAACATGTAGAAATCATAGTAAATGTTCAATATGTCTACATTCAGACATTACGCATGCGTCTAGACGTCGGCGCATTGAGCCACGTATTCGCTCAAATATTTCTGGAGTCTCTCTGATTACCCTGCACGCATCGATGATGCGGTTTCTTAAGTCCTCTACATCGTGAACAGGAGTACGATAAACCAAATGCTGTAAATGGCCTCAAATAGAGAAATCGAGAGGATTGAGATCCGGAGATCGAGCGGGCCAGTTCTGTGGTCCTTCTCGACCTATCCACTGATTTGCAAATGTTTCAGTTAAATGCTGACGTACTACGTGACTAAAATGGGCGGGAGCCCCATCATACATAAAAAACATATCCCTTCTGACGTCAAAAGGAACTTCCTCCAGCAGTACTGGATGCACTTCTCTTAAACTCCGAGCCACACGTTAAGAGAAAACTGTTATTGATGGTTAGTTTCGACAATAGCGTGAGGGTTTTCATCAGCCCATATGTCGTAATTATGAAAATTAATAATCTTGTCCCGAAAAAAACTACATTTGTCTGTGAATTCTATAGTCTTCAGAAAGTCACAATTTCTCATAATGATTTCCAGCATCCAATTGCAACATTCAAGACGGTTCGGAAAGTCTCTCGGTAACAGTGCCTGTACTCGTTGCAGATGGTAAGGGTATAAGAGTTGTTCGTTTAAAATTCGAAATACCGCCATATGATCAACATTTAGCTGGAAAGCAATCTTTCTAGTACTGATAGTAGGTTGTTCTTCGATCAAATTAAGTACTGCTTCCTCAAGCTGTGGTGTTCGTACTTCTCGATGGCGTTCTTCGTTCTTTTGTCGAATGAACCATATTCTCGTAATCATTGATGAAGTCGAGCAGATATTCTATGTGAAGGATGCTGCCGTTGAGGATACATTTCAGCATATCTTCTAGAAGCTTCTAACCCATTCCCCTGCGACATACCGTAAACGTAATGCATATCAGCCATTTCCTCATTTTTGTGTATGTCTTGAAATACCCAGGACCGATATTTTTGCTTAAGTAAGATTTCATTGTAAGATTTTCACTAAACACATCGAGAAACCACAACACGTTTGTCACTATACAATAGGTTCATCATTGAATTTACAATTTACTAAACCAGTTACAGTGGTTTTATCGGTCCTTAAAAATCAGTCACCTGATCAAAAACACTCTTGGTGAAATTCAACTTTGAATATTTTCATAGATGAAACTTTGGAACGGACTGCAAGGTTATACACAATATGTTGAGTATCTAGACCAGAAATTACGAAAAAAAATCTAGTAGGCCAGATGCTACCTATACAATGAAATCTCATCGGTTAGGTTTTGTAAAAGGTAAAAGTATACAAGATGGTCTAGTCTCCTTCTCAGACCAGTAGGTAAATTTTATTGACTATTCACGGGCATTTACGGAAGCGCAGAAGGGCCACATATTTTTATTATTTGTTTCTTGGAAACTTCGACTTTTATCTCGAAATTTCGACTTTAATCTCGTAATTTCGAAAATACGACTTTAAACTCGTAATTTCGACTTTAAACTCGAAATTTCGACTTTAATCTCGAAATTTCGACTTTAATGTCGAAGTTTCGACTTTAATCTCGAAATTTAGACTTTTATCTCGAAATTTCGACTTTAATCTCGTAATTTCGAGTTTGAAGTCGTAATTTCGAAATTACCTACGAAATTAAAGTCGAAATTTCGAGATAAAAGTCGAAATTTCGAGATTGAAGTCGAAATTTCGAGATTAAAGTCGAAATTTCGAGATTCAAAGTCGTAATTTCCAAGAAACTAATAATAAAAATATGTGGCACTTCTGCGCTTCCGTAGGCATTCGAAATAACAGACCGCAAGCTGTTGGCTAAGAAACTGAATTGCGGTTTGGTATCAGGAGATTGTCCCTTCAATGTAATATTTCCTATCTTTCTTATAGAAATCAGTTTGTGCAAATAAATATGGAAACTGGAAGTAGTTCGTCAGATCCCCTCGCAGTCGAAAGTGGCGTATCACAAAGTAGTATCTTGGGCCCAATATTATTTGTAATTCATACAGTTTAGACCAATAAGTCAATCAACTGAGTATAGTTTATTGTGGTGGTGAATATATTTTATATATTCCCGACTTTTCCTTATCCATATTATGTCTTTAGGGTTACTCAACATTTGTTGAAGTACACAAGACGTTTTGAAGGCTACTTTCACTTTCATATTTTAAAAAATACGATCAAATCTGTTAGTGAATCTAGGTTTATATGGAAGACCAATACACTTTGAATCCATATGTTTTTGAGAAGTCGAATATCTAGGACTTTTTCAAATTTACGCTTCCTACTTTACTCATCCAGTATATTTGAAGAATACCCCTTGCTTTCAGCTAGGTTCCTGATAACATTTCCTCAATATAGTACGGTATGTTACTTTTCCCTTATTCAAGAAGAACGTAACAAGCCTATAGACAAGAAAGTTTAGACTTATCATTTTGTGTTGTGGACAATGGTGTGAGTTATCAGAAAATTTATCTAAAAGTACTGGTATACTTCCTGTAGACATCAAATACTAAACCCTGGTTACGTCTAATCACTTGAGACATCCAAGACTGGTAACTCCTCGTTGTTTTTAATTTTATATATCAACTGAATATTTGGGGATCTTTTTAGAGTTGAAACAATGTCCTCTACCTTTGATTTCATTGTACTATAAATCGCAAATACATCGTCTACATATCGGATCCAAGTTCGTTGAAAGTAATGTAACTCATCTTTTGCTTCCAATTCAAATCTGTTCGTGAATAGAGTGGCTATGAAGGTGGACAGTGAATTAACCATGCTGTCTGAAGAAACAGTTGTTGAACTGGAAGCAATTATGTTTAATGCAGATTTCAGTTAATTATATGTAGTTTTTGATTACTTCTCCACTAAGACTTCACATTTTTAACCTTCTCTATAAAATCATGAAAATTGTGAAAATGAGATAATTTCAAACTATTTGGTTAGCCCTTTCATAAGTACTGGAACTTATGGCGGAGACAATTAGTCGCACTGACTTGCCAGGCTTTTGAATTTTTAGTAGACCGTATATTCAAGAAACTGTGGGATCAGAAACCTGTAGGCTTTCATTCAAAGCCGGTGTGATCAAATTTTGACCCTGCTCGAGTGTGTTTTTCACTTCTGAAACCATCTTAGGTAATTGGTCCTTGGACATCTGTTATAGGGACCATTCTCTACTAAATTATCAATTCTCTCAAAGTAATCTGACTTTTTATATTGGTTGTGACCTTTTTGCCTTTGGTCTGCCTTCATATATTCAGAATATATTAAATGAGAATATGCATGTTCAATTGCACAGGTATTACTTATATGAATTGAATAATGCCAAAATGATATCGGTCATCGCCAAAAACATAAACAAATTCATAAAGACGGAAATAGTCATTCCTCTTTCAATCTTCGAACAGGACAAGATATCAAGGCCAGAAAAAACTTACTCGTCGCCGAGAGGGCGCTACCAACTTATTTTTTTAAATAGAAAGGAGGGTCATGTGATACCTTATTTGACAAGTAATTTAATTCCCTCTTCAACACCGCTTTGCTTTTGAAAATCGGTCGTAGCGTAACCTGAGGTGTCATCAAAACTGGTCTGGAAATGCCATGAAGAACTGAATAAACTGGCAAACAGGAAAAAATTGACTTTGTACTGGGTGCCAGGGCATTCAGGAATCACAGGTAATGATAAAGCCGATGAATGCGCTAGACACGGATCATCAACTTCATATATAGGTCCTGAACCAGCTCTGGGAGTACCAAAATCATTGGTACGAAACCAGATTAGGACATGGACCAATAAGAAGCATACATAGTACTGGACAAAAGTACCTGGCAACAAACACAGTAGAACCTTCATTAGGGAACCGTCCGAGAAAAGAACCGAAGAACTACTTCAATATAGTAGGGATCGGCTCAGAATAATTACAGGGTTACTAACCAGTCATTGTCCGCTCAGAGGACATCTGAATAAAATGGGGCTGTACAACGGAGACCTCACCTGCAGATTATGCAACCAAGAGATAGAAACAGCTCTACACATCTCATGCGAATGTGAGC